CCTCTACACACCCTTACGATGAGCCTTCATTACAAATGAGGGACGTATCATTCGAATCATTAGATTAGGTGACCATTTTTTAACTTATTAAAAACTGAATTCCAGGGGCAGTTAGGTGGCACAGTGGATAGAGCACCAGCCCTGGAGTCAGGAGGACCTGAGTTCAAAGGTGACCTCAGACACATAACACTTACTACCTGTGTGACCCTGGGCAAGTCAGTTAACCCCATTGCCTAGCCCAAAAAAATCTCACAAAAAAACCCAACTGAATTCCATTCTTTCTACAATTCAACAGAATGTCACCATGTATATATTTTTCTTTGCCAATGCCAACATGTAACATACTCTTTTCTCTATTTCTCTTTAGAATTATGTTTAAACTAATTGTCCGCCTCACCCCTCCAAGTCTTAAAACATTTCTCAGCCCTTAGTTGGTCACCTTCTTAATAAATCGCTAACTGTTTCAATTTAAAGTGGAAATGTTGCATATATCTAAGGACTTTCCAGACCACAATTCTAGAATAGAAAATGAGGTGAAATATCATTACTTTAATTAGAATGATGGAATTAATAAGTAAAGATTTCAAAATAATAACAAAAAGTTTTTTCAAAGATCATTTGCAATTTGTGATACAAAAACTAACACATGTACTTTCCTCTACCATGCCCCCAAATAATGGATCCCTAATTGGTTAAGTTACACTTTTCCTCATTATATATTTGGTAATATATATATATATATGCTTCTCACAAGTATACAGAAATTAGTTGCAGTTATTGTAGGAAAATGTGGTTATACTGAATCAGCAAGAAACATTTCTACACTATTTCTCCGAACAAAATCAACTAAAAAGTTGAATACTTTCTTGTCATCCACTATTCACATTCAAAATAATTTTGGACGTTTTAAAAATACATGTTGATGCAAGATGCATATCTGTTTGAGGTAAACTGTGTAAAAACCCGTATCTTTTCAAAGAGAGTGGGTGAAATGGGGCGGGGGGGGGGGAGGTCTTGTAGAAAAGGAGATAAGATAATGACTAACACTATATTCTTTGGTTAGTTGTTTCTTTTTTGTTGTTGTTTTTTGTGGTCTTTAGAGATAACCAGCAAGTCTTAAGGGGTAGGCGTTTTTGGAGAGATTCTCTCTTCCTCTTGCCCTGCCCCCCAGTCAATTCTTCTCCTGACCTTCAGTCAAAAAACACTTAAGTGCCCGCTATGTGCCAGACATTGGGCTGTGCTTCCTATGCATGTCTAATTGCATCCTGGGCCATCTCCAGTAGTCTTAATCTACATCTCGCCACTGGACTGAGATGGCTCTGGAGGAGAAAGTGAGGCTGGTGACTTTGCACAGCACTCCTTCATTTAAATACAATTCACTTGCATGTCACGCCATTACTTTCCTGATGTCATGGTCCTCTTCGAGAAGGCAGGACAAACAGCAGCAGCAGCAGCAGCATGCCCACCCTCTGTGATCAGGAAAAGAGAATCTAGTGGTTCCCTACTTCCTCCAACCTTCATTTCTTTGTTCACCAATCAATCAACAAGTTATTTATTAAGTTCCTACAATGTGTCAGGCACTGTGCTAGCACAGAAGATACTAAGACAAAAAAAATGAAAATCTCTGTCCTCAAGGATCTTATATTCTATAGGGGGAGACAATGGGTACATTAGAAAACAAAATGTGCAAATAAATATATACAAAATAAATGCAAGGTACTAAGGGAGGCACTAACGCTTGGTTGAACATGAAAACGATCCATGCAGAAGATGGCACTTGAGCTGAGCTTTAAAAGAAATCAAAGCCAAGAAAAGCGTAGTCCCTGGAAACAGATGCCTGAGGGGAACTAGAGGAGTGAATAAGCCAAGAACCCCATTTAGCAATTGTTCCACATGGCTTATGTCTGAGGAGATAGGTGCTAAAGAGAGCCTTTAGATGATGGGGATGATGGTGGTGGTGGTGTTAACTTCAGTGATAATAACAATATTCTCAGACTTTCCAGACTCTTCCAGGAACCAAGAAGTTGAAGAATATCATCACCCAGATCCCTAAATTTAGTAGTGTGATGTACTAATTTTGACATGGACTTACTCTATTCTAATTCCTTTTAGTTTTTAAGCTCCAAGTCATTCACAATGAGAGACCATGAACTTTGCCATGCAAGCAGCCATTTATCAACTTAGAGCAATTTCTGCCTAAATATATATAACAGAGGCACACTGCCCACATCTGTTTGCACTCTCTCCCTGTGCCACCAATCTCAATGCACATTACACTGTGCATATCAACAGATACTGATAAATACTTTCAAATATTTATATTGCAGTAAGATAGGCCTTTTTCAAACCTTGCCCCATTTAACCCCCTTACTCTGTTAGAAATTGAGGCTTAGAGAAAGAAGGACGCACTGTTCTAACTTGATTTATATTTCTGCCCCAATTCTGCCCCAATGTCAGCTAACCAGCACAGAAACTGACCATTTTACATTCCCTTGCTTTTTCAAAAGAACAATTTTGTAAGGAAAAGTCTGCCTGGTTATTCAGAAAGAAGAACATTTGATCTAAAAGCCAAAGAAATTAACAGATCATATTTTAGGGTTTAAACTTTAAAATAAGAATGATGAAATAAATCTGTGCTCTCTTGTCAAATGAAGTACTTCGTCTGAAATTGAGCAGTACAGCAACTTAGAGCCTCCAAAGCAAATTAGAAATTAGATTCTAAACATTCAAGTTCAAGACTAAATTTAAAAAGGGATGTATTTGTAGCAAGCAGAAAATAGATAAAACTGAACACTTGTTGAGATTTACTTAGAAGGCTTTTAGAAGTACTGTATGTGGTGTCCTAAAAGCCTTAGCATAATTTTAAATAATTAAAGGTTGAAAGTCAATAAACATTTATTAAGCATCTACTTTGCACCATGCACTGTGCTAAGAGCTATATATACAAAGGAAGGCCTGCTCTCAAGGAGCTCACAATCTAATGGGGGAGATTACCTGAAAATAATTAGGCACAAATAAGCTATAAACAGAATAAACCGGACATACTCAACAAGATGGAAGGCACTAGAACTGAGATGGACTGGGAAAGGCTTGTTAGGGAAAAGGTGGGATTTCAGGTGGCATTTGAAGGTGCATAGGGAAGTCAGGAGGCAGGAGATGAGGAGGGAGAGAATTCCAGGCCAGGGGAACAGGCAGTGAACATGCCTATATGGAGAGTCTTCTTGTAGGAACAGCAAGGACAGCAGTACCACTGATCGCAGGGTATGTGAAGGATGTATGGTAAAAGAAGAGTAGAAAGTGCATGGGGCCAGAAGGGAAGTTATGATGGGGCTTTGTACTCCAAATTGCACTAAAACTTTTGGGACACTATATTAAAATTGTTCTGTCATTTGCTAACATTGTTTCCTTGGATGAGTCACTTAACCTCAGTTACCTCATCTGGAAAATGACAAGGAGTAGACTAGATGACTTTTAAGATCTCTTCCAGCTCTAAATGATCTATTTCTTTAGATGAAGGAGAACAAATTTATTCTCTTAACCAACCAACAAGTACTTATTAATCGCCACTGTGTGCCAAGCACTGTGCGATCCACTGGGCAGACAAAAACAAAATATAAAACAATTTCTGATCTGGAGGAAAAATTACAGGAAACCATGACAGAACAGAAATGTGTAAATTGCTTTTCAGTTCTAAAGTCAAATCAAAACTTTTCTTGAAAAAATTCAGTTAGCTCTAATGCTGACTTCCAGTATCCTTGGCTCACTTCTGCAAACAAGGTCATCTGCAAGGCACTGAGTTCCTTGAAATGCTCTCTTCATTCGTTCCATCTTGAAATACCTCACCAGGAATTAAATCAACAGAAACGTCACAGAAGTATTCAAAAGAGCAGGTGCATACTTTTCCACTCAGCATTTCGAATCTTATCCTTATACTAAAATGATTTTCTAAGGGGATGGCCACCAGAGCCGACACACAGCCACTGCCACTGCAGAGCTCCATTTTTAAAACTCTCTTAAAATGAGCAGACCATTCTAAATAAAAACTGTTGTGTCTCTATGAGACTTGGGGGAGAGGCAGAAAAGAAGCTTTGATTAGGAAAGATGAAGACAAGGCACAGTGTAGGGCAATCAGGAAATGTGCGACGGGCATTCTAGTCCCTAGCTATTCAACTAATTAGCTTGGGCACATTTCGTGCCTCTGTTTCCTCATCTGTAAAACCAGAAGGTTGGACTAGATGTTTTTTCAGGTCCTTTCTAACATTCATAGTAGGTGAATCTCTAGTGGAGACTCTTTGTATCCCTACCCGCCCTGCATGTCAGGCCCAGGGAAATCCTTCTATTCTTGCTGCAGAACTGGTAGGAATGGGGTGGGGGTGGGGGAGGACCAGCAGCTCTGCCGGACCTACGACGTTCGGGTTGGCAGCTAGAACCCCGGCACCGCTTCTGGGATGCCTGCCATGCTTTCTTCTCCCCAGTCTCAGCAGCTACGGAAAACCGAGAGGAAACCTCAAATGGAAGAGCTCGATCAGATCCGCCCCGCCCTGGCAGGGAAGCTGCTGGAGAATAAGGGGATATGGAGAGGGTGTGCAGACCCGCACCCCGGCCCTGAAAGAGCTAGCCCTCTCGGCCCCTCGGCCTTTGCCAGCCGCGCGAACCCGCAGCAGCTGTCAAATCCCGTCCGAGGAAAAGCCGCCTTGCCGGGTTGGGAAAGAGGAGCGCAGGGAGCTCTCTCTGCGCCTCCAGCCTGAGCCGCGGAGAGGAAAACCGGGAGCAAGCGGCCGCAGCCACCGCCCCGTGAGCCCGCAGCGCGGGGGGCCGGGGCCGGGGCCGGGGCCGGGGCCGGGGCCGGGGCCGGAGCCGGAGCCGGAGCCGGAGCCGGGTGAGCCCAGGCGGAGCCGCCGAGCAGCCGCAGCGCAGCGCAGTGCAGAGCGCGGAGCTTGGACAGGGGAGCCAGGCGCGGAGCAGCAGCCGCCCGGAGCATCGCAGCCACTGACCCTTACCGTAGCTGCTCCCCAGTGACCAGGATCTCTGCCATGTGCTCCAGCTCCCTTTGCTGCAAGCCTCCGCTGACCGTGCCACCGCCGCCAGTGCTGCCGGTGCCGGTGCCCGTGCCCGTGCCGGTGCTGCTGCTGCCGCCGCCCTCCTCCTCCATCCTCGCGAGCTGCTCACTCTTCTCTCCCCTCGGTAGGCAGCCCGGGTGTTAAGACTCAGTCAGCTCTTACAGAAGCCCCGGCCGCCATCTCTGTTGGGGGCAGCCTCAGGGCTCGCGTGTGATTGGGGAGAGCGCAGTGAATCCCTCCCGCCTTGCGGAGAAGGGGTGGGGCTGCGGACCAGGGGGTGGGGCTGTGGGTGTGGTCAGGGCCCGCGTGGCCCCTTATGGGCGGGACCAGAGGGAAAACATAAACACGAGGCTGGTGTCCAGTAGGGAGTTTGAGGGCAGCTTGTGGACAAAAACTGGCTGTAGTCTCTTGGCCTCGAGGTTTCTTTACAGAGCGCAAGCTGGGTGGCCCCTCATATGGGTCAACAGTCGTTTCAATTTAGTATACAAACGGTAGGACATAGTTCACATTGTTGTTATTTATTAACATTAGCCTAAATTAGGAGAGGGAGGAGAACTGTTATACTGGCTTAGTAATAAACTGGACTGGACAGAAAGTGGACGTTATTCATGCAGTTGCAAGTCTGGTGGAAACTTAAAAAAAAAAACCAAACAATTTTCCTGTTTATTTTTCAAAACTCGCACCATCCTAAAAAACCTTCCTCTATTCCAAGGGTTCTTAAACCTAGAGTCTGAAACCTATTTTTAAAAAAGTATAACTATTTCAATAAAATTGTTTCCTTTTAAACATATATATTACATTTTATACATTTAAAAACATTATTCTGAGGAGTCCATAAGTTTCATCAAACTGCCAAAGCTTGAGTTAAGAACCTTTACTGTAGTCTGACCACCTCAATTTACAGATGAGGAAATAGGGTAATTGGTAAAATGGATGGAGTGCTGCATTTTAAAATGAGGAAGACTTAGGTTTAATTATCTCTTCAGATACTTGCCAGCTGTGTGACCCTGGCCAAATCACCTAACCTCTCAGTCTCAGTTTCTTTATGAATCACTATATAAATGCAACCTAAAAGACTTGCCAAAGGTCACATACATAGTGAGGGGAAATTGAACTCAGGTCTTTTGACTCCAAAGCCATTGGTTTCTCAGCTGTTCCAGGCTGCCTCTCCTTCCTTATTTTTCTCAAGTCAGATCTATACATGGTATCCAAAGGGGTGGGGAACCTTCGGCCTCGAGGCCACATGTGGTCCTCTAGGTCTTCAAGTTCGACCCTCTAACTGAATCCAAACTTCACAGAACAATCACCTTAATAAAAGGATTTGTTCTGTAAAACTTGGATTCAGTCAAAAGACCACACCCAAGAACCTAGAAGGCCATGTGTGGCCCATCCCTGGATAGGGCAACATGGGTTTTTCCCCCCAGGTAACTAAAATGTACAGGGTTCTGAGGACACTTCTGTTCCTTCAGCAAGTAGAAACAACTAAGTCTAGCATCTAGTATTTGCATATAGCCAAATGCTCAAGTGGAACTGTGATTTTCATCAGTTTAGAAATTCCCTGCAACAGGGTAAATCCTAACACAACCATGTCAGCCCATCCCATGTAACTTTTATCCATGTCCTCCTGTGATTCCTACGCAAGGGGTCCACCTAACACGCTGGAGACTGTTCTCAATCTTATCTGACACTGTGAAGGTACCAGAGGAGCACTCTAGCTATTCATATATCATTTCTCATCCTTACCACACAACTGGCCCCTTTTCTCTGCCTGTTGTATGATTCCTTTGTTCTTCTTTGGAGGTCTTCATTGGTTACATGTCGCAGCCTGCTCATCCCCGCCATATGCCTTTCCATTTTCCTGTGTGATCTTTGTTTTTAATGCTTGGAAGACTATTGTATTCCAGATCTTGCTGCCATATAGCAATGCTAGTAGAATGTTAGTAGTAAGAAGATGGACCTTTGCTTTCATGGGAAGCTTAGTTTCTGTACAGTTTTTCCCAAGGCAATTCAGCCTATTGTACCCCTCTTCAACTCTGGGAGTAGCTAGTCTTCTGACTGTACAGGCCATCCCAGACAAAGTTTTCCATCTGCTTTACATATATTCCTATGAATGTCTGGACTTTTACATAACTCTTATTTTGTACTGTAGTTGGGTCCCAAGCTGTAGACTGTTGGTCTTGGAGGCATGAAAATATGAGTTAACATCCCATCTCTGAAACCCGATTGGGACACTGGATGAGTTGTTCGCCCTCTCTGTGCCTTAAATGCCATAAATGGAGACACTTCTCACATCAGAACAAAGTCACAGATTTTCAAAGATTCACATATGAGGCTCCATGTGATCAGGGAACGTGTTTATTATAAACTTTGCATCTCCCCAAGTATCTGGCACAGGACTCTAGCGTAATGCTAAATGTTTGTTGATCTGATTTCTACATGTGTATGTATTATCTTTAATTAATCATGCAATCAACAAATATTTATAGAGTTTCTGCTAGGTACCAGGCATTGTGCCAGATGCTAGGGATTCAAATATAGAGAATGAAAGAATGTGTATTATAAAAAATACAAGATAATTAAATGCAATTGACTTAAGAAGGAAGTGTACTAACATTTTAGGACCAAGAAAGGCTTTGACTAGAAGGCTGCCCTAGAATAGTGTCTTGAAGGAAGAGAGGGATTCTATTTACTGTATTTTATGTTCTCTACTCCATCAGTTCCAAGAGGGGAAGGATTATGTCTTATTTGACTTTGTATCTATCGATTTTCCCATCATGCCTGGCACAGTGCTTCATGCACCGCAGGAGCTGAGGAGATGTAGGTTAGAGTTGAAGCTTCGACACAGTGAGAGATTAGACAAATTGCTTCATCCTGAAAACCAGTTGTCTCTTTCAAATGTACACAAATGTATATTTTGAATGTACACACAATGTTATGTATTGTGTTTATGTACACAAAATGTGCATAAATGTACGTCTTAACCTGTCTAAAGATGGGGAGTTGATGAATTCTTGAGGCTCTTTTTAGCTCAAAGTGTTGTGATTCTATGAAACTATTCTTTGCGTGATGGAACCTACAACAAGTACTACAAGTACCTCTGACTTCTTCCTTGGCTCAAGAACTATGTCTACTCAGTGGTCCCCAGAAAGACATAGCTTTTGAAATTGGAGCACATTCATATAATGGACTGCCTGTAATTCCCACATAAGAATGAATGAATTCTGTGCAAACGAATCTCAGGCAACTCTAAAGTTTAAATTATTATTACTAACTTGGAAGGTATGATTGTCTTAACTTCTTTCTGTACAGCTTTCATTTTTTGATTATCCTAAGTATTCATGTTGAAAGTTTGCAGAACGAATAAGGAATGAAAAAAGCATCTATTAAATAATTACTGTGTGCAAAGCACTGTGTTAAGCTCTGGGAGTACAAACAGAAAAGACTGCTTTCCAGAAGCTCGCCTTCAAATGGGGCATGCAACATATACAGAAGTCATCTACAAGTCAGATGGAAAGGTCTCGTAGTACTGGGGCAAAGCAGATGGCAAAGCACCTTCTTCAGTTTCATTTAATCTGTTTTTGATGCTGAACCATTTGTCAGTGCCAAGAACTTTAGTGTTGGCCACTTTGCCCCTGAGTCTTCTGCAGTTGCCAGGTCACTTCCCCACAGAGGTTACTTCCTGGCCTGATAGCTGAAGGCCTGGCCCAGGCTGGATACAGGACCAATGGGCCTGAAGGGTACTTCTATTCCTTGGTCTCTTGGGTCTTCAACCCCCTTGGTGGCAGATGGTCAACAATTGGTGGTAGTGGTGGTATGCACCTCCACAAAAGTTGCTCCCTACAATGACAGCTGGAGGGGCCAAGCTAGAAACAGGACTAGTGGTCTAGGACACTGCTCTTCCCAGGCTCTTGGGTTCAGGGTCTTGATCTGTCTCCAGCCATGTCTGAGGAGAAGTGGTTAAAGTCTTGGAAGTGCTATGACTTATTGGACAGTGTTGCCTCCTATATCTTTCCTCATGGTGTCATGCTGCTTTGAAAGAGAGGAGACTAGATATCCAGGAAAAAGGTGAGAGGAATATTGTCAGCCCCCAGAAATTCTCTAGACCACATAGTTTTATTTTGGAACCCAGTTAAAATATTTACCTAAAGCATGCAAGACAGATGACTATAGAACTATGTCTTAAAAATCTCTGGGCAGGACTTTATGCTGCAATTTCATACTAGATGGACCCAGAAATAAAAGAAGTTAATTAATTAAAGCATAAGTAAATAAGAACTAGGAGAGGGGAATGGGATTGTATACAATTCTCATGTTCCAACAAATCATAAGTAAATAGAATGTATGAGCCTTTAGAACAGCGACAGTTTCATGTTTTGTCTTTGTATTCTGAAAGCCCAACATATTACAGGTACTTAATAAATGCTTATTAATTGGTTGATTGAATCATAGAATATCCAGCTGTAAGGGATCTTAAAAAAAAAAAACCAGCAACACCTAGCCTAATCCCATCATTTTACAAATGAAGAAAGTCAGGCTTAGAGCCATCAAATGACTTACTTGCCCAAGATCACACAGATAGTAGCAGCAACAGTAGTTAAATGCAGGTCTGTGGTCCTAAGTCTGCCGTTTGGCTCTGCCATCCCAGAGTCTTTTTGTCTAAGGTCATACTCTTTTGTTATTTCTCTTCCTCTTTGTTCTTTTCTTTTAATAAATCTTCAGTTTCCTTTTAGAACTTCTGCCAGTGTTCTACTGAACTATCAGGAAGGAGGCGGTTCCAGATTCTTAGATTACCTCCCCTAAATCTTTTATTTGGTTACATCTTTAGTGTGCAGGGAGAATAATTGGTTGATTGCTTTCTTCCTTCGCAGTGACCCTTCATGTACCTTAAGACAATCAAATTAAGTTACTTCTTCACCAATAGAAATAACCCAGGCTTCTCTAAACTTTTTTCATAGGTAGGGATAGAAATTAAGGCCAAGGCAGAACGTAGCCCTTAAGAGCCACTGGTCCCACTATTTTGCAAATCATTCTTCAGAATATGAACTGTTGAACTGAGTAAATAATTTCCTAAAGACCCTAACGTTTCAATTTTCCAAACTTGTGACGATGTGGCTTGCAGTTCTCCAGTGTCTCTGATTTTCTCTTATATCTTAGAGCTCCAAAGTAGACTAAATTCTAAGAGCCTTATATAGTGTATCATTTTATCCTAATATATTTTTTATTATGAATATTAAGTCAGGTCTAAGTAAAAGGAATAAAGC